CACACACACACACACACACACACACACACACACACACACACACACACACACACACACACACACACACACACACGATAATTCCTGCCCTGGTATTTTTAAAACCAGGGTAGAATAAGGACAACACACAGACTCACATACAGTAGATCTCAATGTCTTATTACCTCATAAGCAGAGAGGTCGATTATTGATCTTCAGATAGGTCTGAGCAGCCAACACAGTGAGACAGTGTATCAGGTGTCACAGAGTCTACATGCTCAGACAGTGATGTGTCTGTATGGAGAGGACTCACAGAGTCTCCGTCAACAAGGCTGAGCGAGTAAACGAACTATGTCCGGCGTTTGAAAACTACCTCATGTCAGAGGAAGCCCTCCAAGCCCTAAATGATAATAGTATTAATAGAGAGACTTGGATTAAAAAAAAAAAAAACAACACTGACATTTTTGTTACGGCATTCTCCACACTGAGTGGACAAAACAAACACACCAACCACCTGCTGTCTCAGTAATAAAAAGATGAGCTGGAGCGAAGGCTTCCTTATTTGCTTTTGTTTGTTGAATGTGACTCAGTCTGATTGGCTGAAAGGATACAAGCTGAGGAAGACCTTGAGTCAGACTGTGGGAGCTGTTCACAGGGTTAATGAAGAGGTATGTAAATGTGCATTAGGACTACTCTCCAAATAATAACATAACTGTTGAAGGAAAATGTACTTCAGTTGTCATTGTTTTCTTTATACTAAAGGAAATCAAAAAGATGAGTCAGCAGAGCAAATATTGGTGAGATATTTGCTGCTTTTTAGTTTTGCATTTCTCACTGTTGCTGAGTGTGGGTGTAGACATTGTACTTTGGGATAGCAAGATGTATCTGCTGCCTTTCTATTAGTAGGGATCAGTTTTTGTGACTGGTACACTGAGCTTTAGGCTGTTAAGATGCAGCAGTGGGAAGTAACTAAGTACATTTACTCAAGTACTGTACTTAAGTACAATGCTGAGGTACTATGTGCTACTATTTCCTTATTCTCCACTAACTACATTTCAGAGAGTGATACTGTATTTTTTCTCTCCACCTATAGTTCTAAGTTACTTTTAAGAGAAATATGATAGCTCATAAAACACAAACCATTGTTGATTAAACCAGTGGTTTCCAATGTTTTTGGCTTGTGATAGTGTAGAGTTGAGGCCCTTGTTACGTTTCTGATGTCTGTGAGTTGTTAACAGCTTCACCAAATCGTGATTACTCCTTTAAGTTCTCACATGGTTTCATTTAAATAACTGAATAATTGAATAATCAATGCCTGAAGAGGTAAAATTATCCAATGTTCCAGAGCAAAAACAATCAAAGTCCTAAAACATGAAAACAGATATGTGTATCAAAACTCAAATTAATCATTTTAATACCCATCAGATTTATCCTGTAGCCCTTTGGGGGGGCCCCAACCATAACTCAGCTGAACTACCCATGTGTATATAAAGTATTTAAAACTAGCTCCACCTTGACTAGATGCAACAGTATCTATGCTACTTACACATGTATCAATATTAACAGCCTCGTAATGTCATATAGAATCAGTCACTGGGACCAAGCCTTTAAATGAATTGGGTACTCAAGTACATTTTGCTGCATGACATATTTTTCTCGCTGGAGTTTTACTTGTAGTGGAGTCATTTTACCTACTGTACTGATCTGAATACTTCCACCACTGTTAAGATGTGAATATGTTTACATAAAAAAAGCTTGAGCTCATATACAGGAAAAAATCAAATATGCCAATATGTGCCAGGGTTGACAGCGTAAGTATTTCCACTAACAGGTGCTGAACAGTTTGTGTGTGGCCTGTGGATGAAAATGTGTCTCACTGATAAACTAGAGTTACTGCCTCACGGTTGTTCGTCTCTGCCAACCAGTTAAGTTGCAAAAAATATGGTCAGAATCTCCCCTTCCCTTCCTCACCTACAGTACTGAATAATGGTCAGAAGAGCTTTCGCAGAACATTATGATGTCACAGTGAAGTTGACCTTTGACCGTCTGGATATAAAATGTCCTCACATCACAAACTGTGTCATAATCGGTGTCAAGTTGCAGTTTACATACATGTCTGTCTAGACTCATAATATATGTAGTAAAGGAATTTAACAGTGTATTTTGTCATAATTAGCGCTTGAATTCTTGATTTATGAAAATGTAAAAATGTGTGTTGTGAAGTCACAGTGACCTTCGACCACGAAAATCGAATGTTAATCAAGTCCAAGTGTTCCTGAGATATTGCGTTCATGGGAATGAGATGGACAGACAACCTGATGCCTCCAGCTGTCACTGTCACAAAGGCATAAAAAGACAAAATTCATCAGTTAAAGCTCAGAGTACAATTCAAAACACAGCACTGTATTTTATTATATATCCAATATTCAATATTCAATTTTGAAAGATTATTTCATCTTATGGTCTGCACAATGCGGGTGGCCAGTGTTTTGGAGATATTTGTGAAAGTGTTTCCTGTCTTCTTCCGTTGGTTGTTTGTAGTGATCCTCGTTCCCGGAAATTAGTGTTACTGCAGGAAATTAGCTCAAAATGTATTATTAAAAAAAAAAAAAAAAAAAAAGCAATTTCAAAGCAGCTAGAACTGAGTCTTGTTTAATAGTTTTATTTTCTTGGCCATAAGCTGTACACGTTGGAGTTTGTATTAATGAAAGGCTGATTTTAATTAACTGCATAATACCATCTGAATGATCACAGCTGGATCACATAGAGGTTTGAGACCAATGGTACATGATGTCAGTCTGACTTTAAGTGAGGACACTGAAGCTCTACTTACATTGCAAACTGCCAGCTCCTCTGTCTGCCCCCTAATGTCTCAAATGAAAGACATTTCACTATGAACAGTGAGGTGCAATGTTAATAATAATGTCAGTGTCAGTTATTATTGAGCAAGTGAAGTAAAAATCAAAATCAGGCAAAGCATTGGTTAATTTGGCCTAAAAGGGCCATAAATAAAATTTTATTCTCTCGATTTATTAACAAGCCACAGGAAGTCCGTGGCTGTCTACCACAGCACTTAAAACATCTCATTCTGGCGCAGTCCACAAAGACATGTGACCCATTTGAGATACGCTGAGCCACTGATAAATCTGAAGGCTCTCTTCCTTACTTCCTTAGAAAAATAAAACAAAACATGGTAATACTGTACCAAACTGGAGGCAGAGCAGCAGGGTGATCCTTTTCACGCAGAGAAGGGTGCTTTAGAAAGGGCTATGAGCGTGGTTGGAGAAGCTTGAATCAAACAGCAACAACAACAATAATAAACTATGAAAAACCCTCAAACTCTGTTTTTTGCAAAGCTGAAGCAGAATGTGCTTGGCTTTCAACCACTGCAGGATTGCCACTGTTTTTTCCATCATCTTCTCCTCTCACATTTCTTTATTCCCTCCCAACAGTCCGTCCTCTCTTCCTCCTTTCCTCCGTTGTGTTTTGCTTAAAATAAAAGTGAAATAATATTTATAATGATAAAACCTATAGCAGCAAAAGAGTAACAGAGGAATAACAGCTAGAAGCGAGTGACCCCTGGATTTATAAGGAAGGCATGGGTTAAGAGAGGTCCATGGATTTTTTGCCCAGGGTTGGGCCTCTGAAAAGGGAGCGGTGTCTGGCCGTCCCTCGGAGCTCATCTCCCCTCGGTGGGCACCCTGCCTAGGGCGGCCATGATGCGGCTGAATCGTTCACACAGCTCCAGCGTGGAGTAGGAGGGCAGCTTGGGAGGGTCGTGGAAGCTTTTGATCTCCGTCGAGCAGTCCAGTAACTTGGGGAGGAAGTCGGTCAGCTTTTCCTGCAGGTTGGCTGTGAGCAGGAGGTCAGACAGACAGAAAGATAGTAGATAATTAACTGTATGGACCATGCAAAACAATACAGTGAAAGTCAGATTGCTAATCACAGAAAGCACAGGGTAAATATTTTCAAAGTGATATCACAAGTAGTTTGAAAGCATGTTCCACCACAGAAACAGATTGTAAAACTACTGAAATGGGCTCTGGGTGATAATACACTGCTTTTCCTGAATAAAGGCCAGGAACTCAAAGAACATGCTCTCTGTGGACTGATATTGGAGCATACTGATAAAAGCTGGATCCTCTTCAGTCCTTTTTCCTACCAAGAAATTTATCTGAACATTTCTTAGAGCAGACTTTGCTGTTGATTAATGTGCAGATTATTTCCCTGATTAACCAATGAATTGTTTTGTTTATAAAATATCAGTGAATGCCCTTCTCAATTTCCCAGGGCTCAATTGGACGTCTTCAGAATGTCTTCTTTTGTTTTGACGAAACAATGAAGAAGCTATTACTGCTGTGAAGCTCTGCAATCATCGAATTTTTAAAGCTTAAATAAAACAACAGCTAACCTGAAATTTTCCCAGTACAAGTGAAAATGCTGCACAACCTGGAAGTGAACTGAGCAGTGGCCTGATTATCATGATCTTTGGCAGGGGTACCGAGGAATGTACTAGTAACCTAAGACTTCAACTCTCCAGAAATATCTAACAGGCCAAGTCTGTTCCTGCTCCCTCAGGGACTCACATTCCATCTCTTGGCCCAGGTAAGAACACCAGCGGTTCCTCATGTCCTCCACTGCCAGAAGGTCTCTCTCAGTGTCGTGGACCAGCAGCAGAGGGATGCAGGGCACCACCAGCTCATTCATGATGCCTAGGCCCGTGGTCACCTCTGGTTCTTCTCCTGACTCAAACATGGCGGCCGCTTGCTCGTTTAATTTCTATGGGAGGGAAGATACTGGTGAGTCTTTGATACATTAATACATTAAACTTTAAACAGTAATATTAATGTACTTTGTAATTTTATTTGTCTGACTTTAATTTAAGGGATAATCATGGTCAAGTTTCACAAATACATTTCCCATAATTTTAAGGGCTTTGGGGATGTAAACAGGAAGTATAACGTTACCATGGAGTCAGTCAGTCAGTCAGCTGTGGGCTCCAACATGAGGCTTGTTTTTTACCCTATAATTGTTTACATTTGATAAAGTGGCACCATTAGGCATATGTTGAATCAGCTATTAGCAGTTCTGAGAAGGAGTGTGAAGTTTAAAGAAAAATGTCCCAATCGGCCTCTGAGGGTTTTAAAGCACCTTAGTTGGCTCCATGAGCCGCATGACATAGCAACTGCTGCTGTACCAACTGCTGACTGCGTTGATTAGTGGGCTAAATTAGTGGGCCGAACAAGAATAACTAACTTCCTGTTGTGTTCAGAACAATGTGCACCTGTCCCTTTCACCTCATGCAGTATCTTTGCCCCCCCCCCCCACCAATCTAGGGAGGCGTGACTCACAGTTTGATAGTCAGTTTGAAGTCATGGTGCCCTCACAGCTTTTAGACAGAAGAAAAATTTTTTAAATAGCTTTGGCCAAGAACACGCTTTGCTGACTTTTGTGTATTTGTGTTATCTTACATAATTGTTTTTACTCCAAACAATAATCTTGGTTGTTAAATGTTGCTATGTCATTTATTTCACTGTTCTTGTTTTGTTCTTTCTAGTCAAGTTTTCCATTAGTCCTGATAGATAAATAAGTGACAGCTTGAGTAGTAACAGTAATCTTATCGGCATCATTAATATGACACAGTATCCTACAGCCACTGGAACTTAAGTGGGTCCTGACGTTCTCGCATGCATGTGGATACGAGCTTTTCTTCCTGTTCTTGGCCAGAACCACCTTGCTGTCACAGACAAACTCCATGACCTCCTCTCTCTGAGGAAACGACCCGTTTTTTTCAAGCCAGTTTGGAAATGGGAACTGCAAGGCTGGATTTGCAAAACATCCAAGTACATTAACTGTGTCAATGTTAGCAGTGTTTTCAATTAAAACAAGAGCTGAAGGTAAACAGCTGAGCGGACGGAGCCAGAGGTTCTGGCCAGAGATCTAAGATGACCGATCGGGCTGTGCAGAGCTGAGGTTTGAGGTTAGCTGAGGACATGCTTGTGTCTCATGGTAATGTGTTTACACTCGCGGGCCCTCCTGCTTCCTATTCCCACTCCAGTGATTACATTATGAGCACAATGCTGGTGTAAGGTTACTGAGTGCAGCAGCAAGAGGGCTGCTGAAGATCAGTGCGAGGCTGATCAGACCAAAATACCCTCAGCCCTAACCAATAATACCAGAGCACAGCCTGCAGTTTGGTGGGAGTGAAATGAAAAGGGGCTCACATCACAACGCTGAAAGGATTTTCATCTGTCAGTATCAGATGAAAAATCTTCAGTGGAATCTTTTGTGGGCTGCAAGCAAGCCAAAGCAATATCTCAGCAAAAGCAATTTGATTATAGTACCACAGCTCAGTATTGAGGGGGAAGTGTCTGGCGATGTTAGTTTTGCTGAGTCACTTCAGCAAAGGAAGTTTGATACAGAGGAAAGGGAGTGACAAAGAAGAGACAGGGATCACAGGGAAGGATTGCTGGACACAAAGGCTTCCGTTCCAAAACAGACCCTCTTTATAAATCACTTTGTATTATTGAGATATGACATATAGGAAGAAACATATCCGCACGTTTCAGAAAATATTTGACAAGTTGTTTGAAACAAATCACTGTGTTGTGCATGAATGAACTCACTAGCAAACACTCTCGACGGTAATGACCAAGAAGCTCCTCGTCGTGTCCTCTATACAGCCCTTTGGACAGAAGCTCCTTGTTGTACTGATACGAGTAAATCAGATACATCAGAGCCTCCACGTAACTGGAAAGGAAGCGATGTTCATGAACAGATGTTACATTCAGATAAAATAGCCTGCAAGGAATGTCAAAGTTGCACTGAGAACTTACAGAGTAAACCATTATACAGAAGAAATAAACTTGATGAACCCACTGTACAACTACAAAGCTTGGAGTTGTACAGACAGTTAACTGCTGCCCTCTATAGGCAGCAATTCACCATTTACTAGCTGCTACAGATGACCAGTGAACTGAAAATAAATGTAATGTAAGGTAATATTTCACCATACCTTGTCTTCTGAAAGAGCTCCAAGCCAGTCATCATGAAGACGGTCGTCTCACGGAAATTCCTGTAGTCCTGATGCCACATCTGATCAAAACAAACAGAGGTTACCACAGGCAAACTAACTATGCTCAAGCTCAATTATGTCACAGCAAAAGCTTTAAAGACAATGTATAATACTACCTTGAAGGCAGTCTACTATTTTAGATAAATAAAGCCCAGAAGAGACCACAGCTGACCTCATATTCATCCATGTTGACCTCCTCTGGCTTAATTAGGTCCAGTTTGGCACGTGCCACATTCATAATGCTCTTACATCTGTGGGGGGAGGTGGGGAGACAGGAAGAAGAACCGGTATTAGCGATAAGATGGTGAGTCATTGTGAGGTACTCCAGGAGATGAAACGGTCCACCCTGCCCCTAGGCCTTAACATGGCCTAATGAATCACTCTTTAGTGCTGAGAGGAGAAGTGAAACACTCCTCCGGAGGCTCCTATTGAGGCCACATGCACACATAAATCTAATTATCTTGCTGAAAATAGAGGAGAAGGGAGAAATCAATTTTTCACTCATGAATATGGATTGAGGCCAACAAGCATAGTTGAAAAGTTTTAAGAGGTAGTAAGGAGCGTTACACACACTTATGACACGAGCATCACAATCTCACCAGCGAGGGAATCTTATTTGCCAGCAGTACTAAAAAGATCATTAATGGACATGTGTCTCTTAACATCTGTGTTTCAGAAAGCAATGTTCAGATGAGACACAGTCAGTCTGTGCTGACTGTGAATGAGGAGGGCTGCTAGAGATGCTGTAATGTCAGAGTCAAGGTCTCTGCTACCCTCTGCTGGTCATTTTGAGAAGTTGATTTTATGTAAATTATCTAAGTTGATTTTAGTAGGTGGCTAAGTTTAAGACGATTGGACGAAAGGCACAGAACACACAGAATAGTATATGAGATTTTTAAAAAACGCAAGGTTGTGGCAGAGCCTAACGTCTTAACTACCTCTCATCAAAGGCCAGGTTCCTGTCGGCAAACTGTGTGAGCAGAGTCCTCTCCAGGATCTTCTTGGGTGCCTGGTTTTGGATGAAATAGACGATGATGTGCTGAAGTCGGTAGTCATTCTCAAGTGATGTGTCCTCTTGGGCAAATCTCAGAAGACGGGCATACTCCAGCTTTATGGCCTGGGCAGAGAGACAAAGTCATAACAAGTCGTGGTTAAAACTCTGACTGAGGCTGTGGTGGTATGGATATGGATGCTTCTTATTCAGCTACTCTTGAGTCAAGATCTTAAGGGTAACCTGCAGTGAATTTCCCTTTTAGACATTGATTACCGTCCTTGATTACTAAACGTTTGGGCAGAGCTTTGAGCTACTTTATCAAGGTACAATGCACTTGCCATTTTAGACTCATACTTCTGCAAAGCATCTGTACTGATTCAAGCTAGATAAATAGATAGCAGGACTAAAAAACGTCTAAAGGATTCTGTGATTGTTGGAATAAACTACTGGCAACAATAACATGTTGAAAAACAAGCAATCTTTCCACTACTTGCTGTAAAAAAAAAAAAGTCATGGTTTAATGGGTATTCTTTTTGATCCACTACAAATTGTCCTTACTGAGAAGTGGCACATAGAGCTGTCTTGTTTTCTCATTTTTTTCTTTTGGTATTACTTGATGTCTTTGAGATTTAAGAGGCAACTGCTTGTTTTTTCGCACAGTTGAGCATCTGTGCAGCAGCTCAGGAATAAACAGACAACTTTCCACTCGTAACTTTTGACTCAAGATCTGAAAAAACAGCATGATTAGAAAGGTTCGAGTGACTCTTGAGTAACTAGCTTTAAGTGTTTTGTGTTTGTCTCCTGCACTGGAAGAAAGTACAAAAGAGAAAACCAGGAAATGGAATGACATAAGAGGGAAGGTGGACGGAGATGGAATGAAGAAAAGAAGAGATAGTGTGTACCTTAAAAAAGGCTGCCTCAGGCCCATTCTTTTCATATACGCTGCAGGATTTGCCAATGGCCATTATTATACCCTGCATGTTGGGGGTCATCATCGCCTGCCCAGGAAGCAGGAACCATGTTAAACAAAACAACAGGTCCTTGGGACGAACCAAGCAAGGTCAACCTCTACGTTACGTGCTCTGAGGCACTATAATAAAGCATACCACAGTCAGGGCATGCCAGACATCACTCAGCAACCCATGCATTGGTTAGGGTGGCACAGTTGTGAGAGACAAAGCCAGTCGGTTCAATGGCATGATGCACAATCCTCACAAGGATAATGTGGGAAAACCAAGGTAGCCAGCTGTGTGTGACGGAGAGCCAAAAGTGCAGGGCAGTGAGGGAACAGGCTAGAATACTCACTAACAACAACAACTGTCCACGCAGAACATACAGAGCTACAACTACTGCTGATATTAAGCCAATTCAAAAGAAAATTCAACTACGATTCCATAGCAACAGCATGAAATCTGTGTATACGATAATAAAGATCCACGACAGGTGCATTTGATTTTGTACACAGGTCTTTTTTGTACACAGTTTGAACATACAAAGAGCATACAACGGCTTTTTTATTTCATATCATGACACTATGGTCTCGGCTTTTACAGTTAACAGTGACTCATGTAGGATTTCGGCTAAATGTCAACCTGTCTTTGTGCCAAGATGCAGGCTGGCTCAAGAAGAGACTTTTCACACAAGGGTAATATAGAAAGGCCAACAAAGAGATCGGTCTCATTGCACAGCATTTTCAGCCTCAAGCCAATCCACAAATCAGTCAGTATAAAGTGTCAGATTTCCTCAGGTGTGAAAAATCTTATGTAGAGCCACGTGAATGGGTAATGATGCTCTCACTCCATGTATCAAATAAGCACAGACTCGTCAGCACAAAAAGGGAACGAAGATTTATGTGGGCGAGAGCTACCTCATCATCATACCCCCCCTCTTCTGACTCAATGACAAAGGTCCCCACATTAGGAATGGCCACCTCTACTGTGCGCTGGCCAGAGGACTCATCCTCCATGACCAGGTCAGGAGGAGGGGTGGAGGGGGTGCTCACCCGGACCTCAGGCTGAGGGGAGGTGGGAGGGGGAATAGACTGTAAAGAGAATGGGACAGATGAAACAGGAAGGGGAGACAACTGATGGAAAGGCAAGAAACATTAAAGATCGAGGGAAAATGTGTAATATTAGCAAAATAATACTCATCAAATAAACTCATTTAACATCTGAACACTACAAGATTTGATGTGGTTTTCCTAAAAGACTGACTCACTCTGCTGACATCGCCTTTTCGACAAATCAAAATTAATCCTTGCTCAGACTCACTAGGAACAATTTTGAAAATGATGAATCAGCATGAAATATGGATTACAGGATAGATTCACATTTATTCAAGTTTGTCTAAAAACAACACTCAAATCAGTGTTTCCCACACAGACTTTAATTGGGCGGGCCGTCCAGGTACTGTATGTTAACGGCGGCCAAAGTATATTTGGCGACCCATTTTAGCATTTTTATCTTTATTTCATTATCCATCTGAGAGAACAACACCATCTGCAACTGAATAACTAGCGGACAATCTTCCCTCCTGTACCTGTTCATTCACCCGCCACCGTCTAATTAATAAAAGATCTCTAACTTAAATGTTTTCCACTGTTGCTTCATTCAAGAGCTCTCTCTCTCTCTCTCTCTCTCTCTCTCTCACACAAACACATTGACAACGCACCCGCTGACATAATCGGACTTGCCATTGGGAGCACTGGGAGAAATCCCACCGCATCAGTGGGCCAGACGTTTAGCAAATAGTAACTTATTAATACATCCAAGTTACCAACGGACCACTATCATTCATTTGGTGTCATGTTACCGAACAGCGAAGGTGAATGTAAGTCCAACATTCTCTTCCTTTTAGCTCTGGTTTAGTCTCCACCAACTCCACAGAAAAATATCTGACTCTTTAGCTGCTAAATTCTCCCCTATGTTCACCAGCTAGTCACTGAATGCGTCTGTCTGATGTTTGGTCATGGGCTTTTAGGCCTGTTTCGATGCTGCTATGATGCTATGGCAGCAGTGAGAATGAAACAAAACAGTCTGGTCAGAAAATCAAGACAATGGGCTGAAAAACCCTATTAAGCTCAACAGCACTGAGAGGAACTGCAGAGTTGAGTGAGCATTCTCTGTAATCACTATGATCACGTCACTATAAATGACACCTTTCACATACAAATAGTCACAAAAAGATATGGATTATAGCAGCTTTTAAGTGCTCTTGTATTGACACTTAAATATTACATTTTAAGAGTAAATAGTTGACACCTCATTCAACAAATAAAATTGGATCCTGAGCAAATAATTACTCCTACAGGTGTTCTCTCAGTTCATTTACTCAGGGGGGGAAAAGATGAAAGTGGATGAAATAAAATGAGATGAAATAAAAACGCAGGTGAATACACTTCACTTTTACAGATTGATATAAACAAACTGATGTGTAAAAAAAGACTGATACACATGACGGGTGACAATGACATGGCGTGAGTGTGGCTGTGTCACTGTGTGTCTTTGTGTATTTTACATACAGCATTTAGCAATGCTTCAGGGCTTCTCTCCTCTTGCTCAGCAGCAGCCCTTGAGATGGCTCTCTCTGTGTCCTCCTGCAGGTGCTTGGAGTCATTTGTGGGTGATGGCTGCTCCATGTACTCTGGGTCCTGCTGGGGTACTACAAGAGGGCGACAGCACCATCAGAGAAATGCAGAAATTCACGGTTCTTTACGTTTCAACCGTTATCTTTTCACAAAAGCATTTTCTGTGTTTGCCATCCACACAAAAGCCAAAACAACAGTGCAAAGTGTAAATTTATCCACATTAGTATGAGTGTGATTGCAGAAATCATCCATTGCATTTACCAATATTCAGGATTTCATGTAGAAAGCTTGTATTTTGAACAAGTGCCTTGATTTAATGTAGTTTATGTAATAACAGTGTGTCTACAATGAAGTATAAATTGAGTTGAAGTGCAACCCAATAACAGACCTGTCACTGCTTAATTTAGCCAATTATCATACTGTGTATCCACCATAATTCAACAGAAATACATTTGAGTGCTATTGGCTGAGCGGTGAGTCAAAATCTTACTGTACATATTGTATACAATGCACGGAGCATGCCAATATTTCAAGGTCATTTCCTCGTCTTTTTATAACTCTCTAGGGAACAAGAGTTTTTTGTATTTATCTTACAACCAATTATTGATTCTCAATTAAGTATTCTATTCTGCATTCAAAGGGTCATGATACTGACCTGCATTGTCTGGAGGGCTGGATTCGATACTCATGGGCTGAGGAGAAGAGGAAGAAGTGGAGGTGCTGGATGCTGCCGAGGCAGCGGCAGCTGCTGTGGCCAATGCCAGCTTCTCCTGCTGGGCCTTGCGGGCCTGCAGGGTGTCCCACTCCTCAATCTCCTTGTCAAACAGCTCATTGTCCTCCTTCACATACTGCTTCAGGTCTGGAGGCAATTTGTCCATGCCGCTGAGTATCTGTCCCGTTTCCTTATCAAACTCCTCTGCACAGACAACAGAGAGGACAATGAATATATTTTCTCTGCAAAACATGAAAGCTCATTTCTTTCAAAAGAAATTACAATTTCTTCTTAGTGATAAAGTACTTACAACAACAGAATTTGTAACATTTGGGATAAATTGTGTCACAAATAGTATGAATTTTTTAGTTATAGCCAAAAATGTATTTTATGAGGTCACACTGATCTTGACCTTTCACATCTAAGCACCAAATTCTAATCAGTTCATCCTCGGGTACGAGTGGGCGTTTGTGTCAGATGTAATGAAATTCCCTACAGGCATTCCTGATATTTCACATTCACATTCAACAGCACAAACATGAGGTCACAGTGACTTTGAATAATGGACAAATTAACAAACATATACAAAACGTCAACACTAACAGAAATCCTAGAATGGTGCATCATAAGTACATATGTGAGTGATGTATTGTTTTCTCAGTAAGTCCATGTGTACCTTCTATGAGAAAGGGCTTCTTGTCGTTGATATACATGAGACAGTAGGCACTGGCGTTGCGGTAGCCTCCGAATGAGTCTCTGACCAGCTCCTCCCAGGACGACTTAGTGACCGAGATATCATTATACTTCATCCAGCAACGCTGATGTGGGTCATAGATGTAAGCCCAGTAGTGCCCTGCATTGGCCTGGCCTTCGTGGACCAGCACTGCATGAAGCCGGTATGGCACCTGGAATAACATAAAAAACATTTAAAATGCTGATTCACAAATGGAGTACTTGATTGTGCCTTTTTGTATTGCAAATAAAAGTGGTGCTCACCTGCATCATAGATTTGTCAGAGTACATTAGCTCAATGGTTCTGTGGATTCTGGTTATACTGCCCTGCAGATCTGATGGGAAGAACATCGTATACAATCTATTAGTAAGCGCCCATCTAATGTTTACTTCGGCAATATAATACAGAAAGTGAAGGACAAGTAAATCATGCTGACAGAACCACAACACCTACCACGGGTGTCATTTTCCACCTCACTCCTCCAACGATGCAAGCAGCCCTCGAGCACCCTCAGCTCTTCTTCAGTGATGTGTCGTGGGGCAGGGTGCATGGGGAGGTCAGGGGGAAGCCGGGACTGGGTAAAGGGTTTATGAATGGGTACTCTCTGTTGTTGGGCTGCAGTGGGAGCTGTAGCGGGAACCGAGGCAGGGCCTGAGCTCTCTAGGGGAGGCAAGGAGTCCTGCTCGGCTGTGCTGCAGGGTAAGACACAAAGTATAGAAAATAAAAACAAAATACATACAGAAATACAGGTCTAGAGTTACAACAACAAAGTGCCAATAAAATGAACGAATGGCCTGTAGTGTGAATAATGTACAGATAATCTGACTTTCTCCTCAAACAAATATGTTGACTTGTTCATCTTCCATTTTATGACGGGCCACTTTGATTTGCCGCAGCTAACTTCATGTCAAACCATTCCCTCTCAATTTCTGTTACTGTACAGTGATGGCAGTATTATTTTTTTCAGGTTTAGGTTTTTCAGGTTATATGACTTTTATCTCTACTGCACTTGAAGATCTGTGTTATGAAGTTCTTCTTTTCACTCTTGGGGGACATTTTCTAAATGAAACTTGTCTACTTATATTAGTGGTCACATCTCTAGATCACGTACATATTTATGAACATGTGGCATTCATCAACTTAAAACAGCAATTTATGACAAGTTTGTGGATTTAAGAGGGTTTGGGACTTTTAAAGTTCTTGGAATATTGGTACAAGCAAGAGAAAAAATAAAGGAGGTTCAGGATAATAATATGAAAATAATCTTGCTTGAGGGCCTGTTTTTACCTGTTCCTCTGTCCCTGCTACTGAAACTAAAAGAAAAAATGATGAAGAAATCAAACAACAGGCTTTCTTATGAAACTTGCCTTGGTAGGGGCAGCTGTTGTCCTGTGGTGCCACCGGGGGGTGCTGATGAGTCAATGTCTTCCACTGGGGAGGTGCACACTGGCTTACTGGAGGCAAATTCCATGGCATACTGGAGGACATCTGCCAGAGGAAACCTCTTGGGGCCTGAGCCATAACTCAGATACCTGAGAGGGAGCAGAGATGGAGGTAAGCCGAGGGGGAAAGAAATAAGAGAGAAGGGTATAATGTGAGACAAATAGAGAGCACAATTAGAAGGCTGTTGTTGACTGTAGCTAAATAAAAAGGTATCACCTCTCCAGGCGCTGCTGGAGCAGTGTCAGATGCTCTTTCAGCCTCCTGATCTCCTCCCTCTTGATCCTTGTTATTTCTCTGTTCCTGTCCATATACCTAACGATTACAAAGATTACAGCAGAGGCTTCAGTCTTAAAAGTCTCGGGATTAACTGTCATTTCCAGCAGGGACAAATAGATTCTATAATAAAAACCAGTTGTTAATATTTCTATCACCTGTCCATGTAGAGCATAGAGGGGAACTCAAGCTTGTTGTGGATCTTCTCAGGACGTCCTAGTGCTTGGTTGAATTCAAATCTTGACAGTTCAAAGGTCAACACTGGAGGGAGTTCTGTGAACCAGTGCTGAAAGAAAATAGGATCTTGAGATTAATTCTCTTGTCGTGTTAGAATATAAAGTTTGGTAAAGATATTTTGCCTTTCCTTGTGGAGTTTCTTATTTTTTCTTATTTAACTGTCACAAATTGTCATATAACAAAATTTGGTTTGCAAGATCCATTTTTGAGAAGATTTTGGCAACTGATTCATGGCGCATTCAGACCATATTCCACCTGGCGAAATTTACTCATGTGGTGTGACTAACAGCAGGAGGGACAGGAAATGGCATGGGCAGAATTGTAAATGTAACCGGTAAGAGCTAGCATGGCTAGCAGGCTAATGACAGCAGTCCACAAAGTTGTCAGATAACATGTGTTTTATTCTTTGGCTGTGCAGTTATAAAACACCAGCAAACAATATTTCCTGAATGAGAGGTCAGTCCCACCCCTCTCAAACTAGCTGCTTCGATCAAACTGAACTCTAAGCGAAGAAGACGGGTCAATTTGGAAATAATCAAATGTTTCTTGCCCCGATCCACATAAACGTGAATGGGATGTGAATTTTGGTTTCGACTGCACCATTAGATTTTAACTGCTTGTCTGATTCTTTCCTGGGGGAAACCCTGTATGCCTATATGATGTGAATGGAGCATCACTCCTGCTCCCTCACTCCCTTGTGCTCATGGCTGGTGCTTTTCCAGAGGGCTCGGTGCCATACCCATCTGTGTACTTGCCTGGTAATTAGCTACTCCCAGCTGCTGTGGGACACTGCAGGCAAGGCTACAGTGAACCAGAGGTCAAACCCAGAATAGCACAGGTGTAAAATAAGGGCAAGGAGGTCAACCCTTTGGAGAGGATCCACCACATAATCCCATATTATTTAACCTGGTTGTCTTCTCTTTAGTATTAATGATAGGTGGTGATTAACAACTGCTATTAGCAATTAAAGGTTCTATATGTAACATTCACAAAAACTCTTGTTATTAAAGACACCAGTGGCCGTTAAGTGAACTGCAGTCAGCATCCTAATGCTCGTGCTGACACAGTCTATGTTGTGCAGGGAACAAATCGTTTGCTGACGTTAGCAGACTCCATTTCAAAGCTAACATTAGCTAGTGTTGCACACTGCTGGTGCTGTAGGGGAGTGGAAGCCAGGCATTGAGGTATGTGGGAGTGACAATAAACGTCACATCTTTTGGATTTTCTTGGAAAATTTGGCCTGGGTCCTTTACATAGAAATCACTCCAGAGGCTGTTATAGGCAACTGAGAAAGTCATGGGAAAGACATTGGCAATAAAAACCCAATTAATACATGTAAATTGCTTCATATTCTTACATACATACTTAAATGTTTCAAATTTAAGTACTTTAATTTTGTAATGATGCAATTACATAAATTGAATGTTAAGAGAGGACAGACTGCACATGTATTTGTGGTGCACAAATTGTTTGGTTGAGAAATGAGATGTTTAACTATTCATTATGGTCATGTAGCCATTAGTTATTTCTAGTTCACCTCTTATATTTCATGTGAGGATGAAAAAAAAAAAGTTTCGTTTTGTATAACTTGTCAAAATGCCCATTCAAATTTTCTTAACAGTTCAATGAAAGCAACTGTTGTCACTGACCTCTTGTCCAGACCTGGCTGAGTTCTCTGCTGAGTGCAGGGACTCGATCTCGCCCTCAATCATTGCAGCCTCCAGACACTCATGGAGATCCTTGAAGCCGTTCACCTGCAGGGGGTACTGCCCAAACATCTCTGTGTTCTCAAATTTTTTACCTGTTGAATTACAAGCAGAGATGAACAGATGAGCACTAATAGTCATAATTGCTGAGCTAACTGAGATAGCATTTGAGAACAAGACGAGTGTGCACTAATTGCAATCAGCTATTTAAAGCTGTGTTATCATCATGTGAGAGGGAAAGATGGTGGTCTTAAGACTTTTGGATCCCACTGTGCATCATCTCGTATACCTCGGTCAAAGGTGTGTCAGGTGTGACTATGACACAAGAGTTGGAAAAGGCGAAGAGGTTGAAAAAAAGAAGAAAAAAAGGCAATAAAAGGAGCCACTTCACACTCATTTACATCCAAGGTGATTTTGACTTGTTCAGCAGTCACGCAATCACAACTACTTAAATGGCTGCACAGAGCACCCTGCACCAACTACTGATGAGAAGACACCCCCCCCGCCGCCACACACACACACACACACACACACACACACACAAAACAGGAGGAGAGGAGTTGCTAGCGGACATGCAGATGAGGCATTAAGGTCATTTTATGAGCAGCAGAGTCCACTGGCTCGGCTTTTGGTGGCTCTGGGCCAGTATTGTCATGCATAATAAGCGCAATGTCAATCAGCCGTCAAGGTCTTCCACGATCAATGCAACTGCTCTCCTCTTTTACATGGACCACATCTCATTAAGACAAGGTCACCTTTCATTACTGGGGGCAAGAACTTGCTTGCTTTCTGGCTGCTGTAATCAGACCGTCCTAATGTTTAATCCCTCTGTGATTCTCTAGCTACCCCTCACTTTTCCTCTTGATTGGTTTTAATTTAACTCCGCTTCTCACCTTCCAGGACACCCACAGCAAGGAAGCGACCATAGAAAAGCTCCACCATAGGGTTCTTTGGCTTCTCGCCCTCCCTGAAAACAAAGAAACGTGGTGTTCAAAATCACAGGCAACAGTTTTTTGTTTTATGTTTTTTTTTTTACATGAGACATCTCTGATTCTTTCCACAGTGACCTCTGAGGAGCTGTGAGCTGTGGTTACCTGTCTTCTTCAGCCTTCATCTGGAAGGCATCCTCCAGCCAGTCCAGCAGCTTGTGGGTGAACTCGCTCACATCCTGCTGTTGAGCAAAGCAAAGACAAACATGCAACATGACCAATTACAGGATCGCCATTGGGACATGGAGGTCACAGAGTCAAACTGCAGGATTTAACTGCACCTACAAGCAAGAAAGTCCAATCAGTCAAATCAATGCCATGTCTATCAACTGCTGATATTCCCTGAGCTTTGGATATGAGATGACTGCTCTTAGTGGAGGAGTTCACAGATTGCTGAACTTCAAACCTGAATGCCCCAAGGCCACTCTCACACAGACATCAATGCCACCCGGTAATTCAGGTCAATGCCTTTTCCAACCTGACTAACACTCAGAGGAATGACATGACTGATGAGCACAGAGGCCAGAAGAGTGGCCTCAGTTAACCTCTGCACAGACACTGGCTTAGTGCAAATGCTTATGTAAGGAGAAGAACAGAACAGCTTTGTACATTTGACATGTGTGTGTCACATTAAAGGATATATGCACAAAAAAGCAAATTCCCGGTCAATATGATTTTTTTCCAGAGTTCAGAGGGGATGATGCTGGTTGGAGGATTAATAATTCTAGATAAGAGGGGTTAAGTGTCTGGGATTCAGTAGAGCTGAGTCAGGAGAATGACAATGAAATTGAACAGTCAAGCCTGGGAACATCAAATATTTCTGGTATGTGCAAACAGCAAAAAAGGCCTATTTTCTAGCACTATTGTACAGTTTATAGTACAGGTAATCAGTATATAACCTATGAATCTCCGCAAACATGATAATAAATCTAAAAATGTATATACAACATTTCAAAACAACTGTTTTGAAATTACCTTACAAAACATAAAAGACAGACAAAGCAATAAGAAATCATTACAGTTATTTAACTGATAAATGCAACAACTACATATGGATTGGAAAAACAAATAAAAACAGAGTATGGCAGAAAGAGGCTTACCTGCTGCGACTCACTGGACTTGAAGGCGTCTTTGAGGATTTCCACAGCTCGTGACGGATCCACATATTTCCTCTTGGACCCCACCATGAGGGAGAAAAGGTTCCTTAGCTCCTGCATGAAGGGCAGGTTCCTGTGCTCCTGATCACAGCAACACAATCGACAATTTAGCTAAACAAACTTTGTCAAATGAGTGTTTCTCACCTCAGAAGGAGACAGCGGGTATGTGCAGATGCTTCATTGAAAACCATATCTGATATTTTCCCATCCTGTGTTTTAGTAAAGGTCTTAGACAGAAAGTTTGTTAAGCTTTTCAGATGCACTGATGCACATTTAGAACAGTAAAACATTATCTGCCGTGTGATAATTGTTGGAGGTAATGCTCCATTTGTAAAGATAATTATATAGTAATGTTAAAGACTTGCTGGAAAGTGTCTGCCAGTAAGTCACTGGCTGTGTGTATAAGACTTAGTTCATGGCACGAATGGTTTGAGCAATTTGAGCATTTAAAAAAAAACATTTTCATAATATATCATACTAGGGAGGGATGGTTTGGTAGCTATAGAACCAGCTCCCCCTGATAGACCCGTGTTGACTGTGGATCAAATATGATATCACCTAAATGCAACACCAGTAACTCCACCGGTGATTACCAGTTTAGCAATTTGCTTTTAAACCACATGACAATGAACAAAGTTTATTCAACAGTTATCAATGTTTTATGTGTAAATACCCCACTGGTTGCTGTATTAAGTGGAGAGTATGTTGGATTGTTTTTTCCCACACTTCCCATATTTAAATGTGCTGCATAAGTGATTTGAGGTTGCACAGTGTCACCATAGTGACATTATAACAGTGAGATGCAGAGCTGACATGACTTAGCAGTGCATAATAACAACACTAGTGATTCAAGCATGTTAATGTAAAGATTAGAAACTAAGCTCTAGCAGTCTTGTACTGCTAAATTAAAAGGTCAGTGATTAGAACAGAGGGAACTTAGATGAAGAGATGACTGCCCCAAACCACACTACCACATCAGAGGCTTAGACCAGATTAGTGGCAGGCTGCTAACCCTTTGGTGAGCACCCTGTAGGGAAAATATGGACCGACAAAAACATGCTGAGAACTATTCTGCCAATGTAGTGGTGACTGACAAAAGTTGAGCATCTCAAATTTGAAAAAACTCCAGGCTCAATCAAATCAAGCGCTGTTTGCTTCTTCATTTCTGTCTTAGTGGACAAATACGAAGGCTTCATCAAACATTTCACACCAGCTGACACTTCTTGTAGCTTAGAAGCAGTGAGTTAAATGAACTATCAGGGACACAACACTAAGCTGCTGTGACCTTAGGGCAAGATCACACAGCTGCTGAATGGTGGCTCCCAGCTCTCAGAGGGTCAAACCCTCAGAGCTAAAGCACTGCTGGCTTTGATAGGCTACGATAGGGCAGCTATGATATAAAGACTGTGAGGTCGCCCACACAGGTGACTCAACTAAAAAGGATTAAAAGTCATCACACGCTTGACTTTGTTACTGCTTGATCATTGTCCTCTGCTGAGAACCTGTGAGGACAGGTCGGGGGTCTCACCTTCTGGTTGCGAGGCAGGTCATGGACTCTGGCTGGAGGAGAGTAGTTGAGTACCAGCCTCTGGAACTCCAGCAGGTTGAACAGAGACTTGAGGTTGAAGAGGGATAAAGACACATTAGTAACAGCCAATGATAAGACAGCTTTGGCCTCCATACACCGGTTTTATGTCAGAGAACAACCATGAGAAAAATTTCACTATAAAATTTAGTGTCTCAATGTAAGCTGACCTTGCTCAGTCTCTACATTGCAGTTGCAATAACTGCCATTGTAATTATTCCCACTACTTCATAAACATACTGCATGTGCAAGATAGTGCTTCTGAGTCACTCGTCCTGTTTTCTAACTTTTCCTAATTAAACCGTGTTTCTTATCAAAAGCTTATTGTAATTACATTAAGACTTCCCTTCTTGCCAGATTATACAACAATCTGATGTAAACCTGACCTCTTTACTTATTACTTGGAAGAATATGGTTACAGTTCTTGTTGCATCATGTGATGAAAGTACTGAACACAACCTAAGGTGCAGTGGGAAAGGAATAACTTTGCGGGGAAGATAGATTTCTCACAAGCAAGAATCCATCTTGCCAGGCACCCAGCTATTTGCTTGTGGCTGAACCACAGTGGTTTAGACCAATGAGTGTCCTGTGAGGAAGGAATTTCTGGCAGCCACAGAGAGGTGACTGTTTTTGTATTTCTAAGACTGTTTTTTATGCACAAAGACAGCAAGAATCATCTAACATGCTAACTAGCTTTTAAAGCTCCGCAGACTGTGGTTTGTTGTTATGGTGTGTTTCTTCTTCGACGCTCTCCTACCACATCATATGATATACAGATAGTTCATCCAATCACATGCCAAGTATTTTTCAAAGCACCTGCCCTTTTCCTAACAGTTTCTTCCCAGATGGTTCTGTGTAACAAACCATCTGGCGTGTCAGGTTAGGGAAGTAAGGAAATGAGCTAAGACTCTGTCGTGCTTTATAGAATGTTTTTTACATAACAAGCAAAATCACATTTAATTGCAAATTCAGTATGGTGTGATTTTGTTACACATAAAAACTGCACTGCACAAAATGTTCAACTATTAACAGCAATAACAAGAGCCACATCTTTCTCTGCTTTCATCTCAGGGTCATGATGTTTAATTTCTGTTTGTATGTCAAGGAGGATACAAAAACTGTCAAGATTATATTAGCTATGTTATTAGGAAAAGAGAAAAGTTGTTTACTCCTGTTCTTGTAAGTGCAGCAGGGTCAGGTTCAAGCAGTGCCTTCTTCTCAAGGTTGGGGGTTACATTACACACAGGAGCCAGGCACCATGTGATGGTGTATCCAGTGTTCATCGGGCATAATTTAGCTCAGGTCACATTCTACCACTGACTTCACCAGTGGACAAGAAACTAAGTCTTTATGACAGCATTTCCATTATTTTCCAGCATATAAACATTGAGATAACTCTAACTCACTACTACTTAGGATGACTGCAGCAGATTAAAGCACTGATTTCTGCATCATAACAATTACATGCAAACCAACTAGGAATGTACTAATTAATGCAAAAGTCAAGTCTCCAGTGCCATCATAAGTTTCCCATCACTGCAGAAAGTAGGTGTAAGAGCAAAGCACTTTGAGACAACAAAGGGGATTTAGAGCATAATCAGAAAACATTTCAGACTGTGCCTTTCATTTGGTCTTGGTTTGCCAGTGAGTGTGTGTGTTTGTGTGTGTGTGTGTGTATATGTGTGCGCCCACCTGTATAACAGCACTGAACCAGCAGGTATTGCCAACATTTTTCAGCCCCACAGGGCAGTTATCTATCCTCTTCCTGTCATGCGGGTTGGGTGAATCACTCCATACTTCTGTGTGGGTACGCTTCAGACTTGCCTTGTTCTCCGCTATACTGGCCTCCAAAACTCTAGAAAGACAGAAGGCGGCAAAATATAAACAAATTCAATTAAAGTGCAACTAACACATTTTTTCTTACATTGCCTCAGGATTACGTGCTTTATGTAGAACTGAATTGAAACACTGAAGTGTTTGTTATATTTATTTCACAGTAGGAGGTGAAGATTGGTTTTCCTAAATCCCTTGTCACTTGCTGGTTCATCCACTGCAGTTTAACTGCACTATTTCCTAAAAAGTTGAGCACTATTTTTTAACCCTCTTTCATCTCATGCTTCATCTTGTGTCTACAAACAAAGCTGTGTAACAGCGCTCCCCACGCGAGTGTTGAAATACATTGTGTTCAAAAGCATTTCTCCTAAGCGCCACGTTTCTGTATAAATGTGGTTCGTTAGCCATTGGAGGGGCTTATTTCAACAGTCCACATGAGTACAGTCTGAATAAGGTTTAATTTAACTGCCAAACTGAGCCTCCTTAATATCATGCTTCAGGCAGGTTATAATGTACTTGATATCCATGTGTACTCCTCTGAAATGTGCTATTGTTAAGATAACATCACACCCCTTTCACCCTATTTCAAAACGGCTTTATTTCAGGGACTGTTAGACAGGGTGTTTAACACGGTTAACTTTACTGTTGGACACAAATGATTTGGTGTTGGATATGACAATTATGTGGCTATTATTTAATTTGACCTTGCTGTTACAATAAGGCTTTTGTTTTCACTACAGAACATCAGTTCAGCAATGCACAACACAAGTGTGTGCAAAAGATATTTTCATCACACTGTGGGAAAGGATGAAGACAATGTAGGCGGTAAGTTTGGATGTTCATCCAAGGCTCTTTTCTTTCTCCAAAGTTTTTTTTTTTTTTGGTATTTTTGCCTTTGTTGTGAGAGCGGTAGTGAGAGAGACACAGGAAAGTCAAGGAGAGAGGGGGTTGACACACAGCAAAGTGAACCATAATGGTAAGCGCTCTACCAGCTGAACCACCGGTGAGCCCCCCATCCAAGGCTTGTTGCTGGTTTTTTAATTGTTTGGTCAGATGTTTAGTCCAGAACCTCTTGGTACATTTGCTTTTGGTCAGAGATGCTGTTGAGCCCACCTGCTGATGGCCTGCTCCTCATCAGTGATGCCCGTCTCCCTAAATGCCCGACTGGACTCCTCCAGGCTGAGGGCGATAGCCCTCTGCAGGTCATCTTTATCGTCCCCAGTCAGGTCAATGACATCTGCATCAAGAAAGTGCGCACACACACACACATACACACACTTTTAGAACGTTGAAGGAAGTATTCCAAACACTCTGTTTTATTATCTTTGAAGACTTACTGTTGCATGTGTATGATGTTTTGTGCTGTAATATTTATACAATACATTACATTGACATGGGTAACATGGTTGTTGAATTGTTTTTTAATGTGCATTCAAATTTAATTACAGACATTTATACAGATTGAGATCCTGTGTTATGAAAGTTTAAACTAAGCTTATGCGTTTCTTTTTTCTTTTAATCATCCCTGTGAGGTCTCTCGTACTTCTGTGCCAAAATTTTAAGTGAGCTGCTCACTTGTGTCTGCCTGGCTGCCCACGCTGATATATCTGTCGCTGGCCACCTGAGATGTCTGGTAGTAGGTTGTCTCATCTTGCTGAGGAACCTTAGCATTCTTCTCCGTCAGAAAAGCTACAGCCTCGGCCAGGTCTCCATTGCTCACCTGCAGCAACAATGTATTTGTTCAGGCTGATGTTAGTTGGGTATGAACACAGGAAAATTAACACCAACGCTCAACTAGAACTTGAACTCTGGGTTCAAGTGCACACAGTATATGGGTGTCAGCTCACAATGTACCTGCAGAGCCTGCTGAAGCAGCTGAACGTGATACCTGCAGAGCCTGCTGAAGCAGCTGAACGTCTGTGGTGCCCGTGATCTCCCTCAACTGGTTTAGTAGCGTCTGTTGATGCTATTGAAGGCAAAGGAAGAGAGAAGAATACAAGCTGTTAGGAGCAGAGCAGGATGCAAGAGAAGGAGTAAGTAGTTTAGAACAGGGTCGGTGTAAGTTTAATTTTAAAGCTGAAAAATGCCAATATTTCAACTACATCAATAATAACTGTACTTATAAGGCTCTTACTCATCTATAGTGACAGCCAGATAATTTTACGAAAGGCGCTGTAAGGTCCCTATTTCTATCTAAGTCAACAGGGGAAGGCTAAATATTTTCTCTATTATAATTAATCCTTTTTTTAATCTATGATTTTTTTATAATTATTTTGAATAAAAACAGATGAGAATCTGCAGGGTAACATGCTGCACCACAGGCTCTGATCATAATTACTCTCAGTGCAGTTATACAATATATGGAAGTTTAGGTGCTCTAAACAGCTTTACATATGGAACCAATGTCATGGCAATTGGGGCTGCAATGATTAATCAATGAACTGATTGATAGAAAATGTATCTGGAACTATTAAGATAAATGATTAATCTTTTTTCTAGTCATTTTAAAGCAACGATTCATGGCATGTCATGGCAAAGTCACATTCTGCAGAACCAATATTAGATTGCATCTGGCTCAACACCATCCAGAGGTAAAAGCTCAGACAGAAAAAATATGGCAACTTGCTGCTTTACCCTCCAAACAGACTCTGGTCAGTATCAACAATCAGTAGCACCTGCATTAAAAGTAACAGATAATCACAAAATGATCCTAATGTTAAGACACAATGTTGGAAATTGCCATACATATGTAACTTGTGGTTGAGGAAGTGATACAGTATCTAATCAAAAGCTCCCTGTCAAATCCCATCCCTATTAATGAGTTCACTGACGTGTGATGACCTAACGATGTCAAACCCAGCTGGACTGCATGGCTTTAACCACACACTCTTAACCTACAATGCACAGCTAGAATAAATGCACTATAAATACAGGGGGAGTGCACTTAGTGTCAGCATCCAAGGCAGAAGTCTTAAGTCTCAAGTGAGAGGAACACAGAGTGTACTGCAGCTTTCGCAGGTGCAGCAGGCAACAGAGTGTCACATCACATGGGTTTCCATTAGATGAGGACTCATTAGTGTAGGTTCATTTCATACACCATGGACTGATTGCACAACACACATATATGGCAATGCTTTACACAGTCTACGTCACAGACTGTTCTGAACACTGGAGTGCTTCTGCTACTACACAAAAGGAAGTGAAAACCACTTAAGCCTTGGAGCATGTCATGTCATAAAGCAGCACTACCACCAAACAAATAACACAGGCCTTCATCCAACACACATTTTGTGCTCTTCACTTGTGCAGTGTATACTTTTTCACTATTAATGTGAAATGATAAAAGTGAACTGCACCTTAACAAAACATCAAACATCACAATCCACCAGAAGTACTCAAAGAAAATCAGATCAGGGAAAAGGAACTAATAGGGCCAAGTGTGAACTCTGAGGTCTGACAACACATGTCCACATACATCAGATTTTGATTACAGTGCTGTATAATGAACACCATGGTTTTCTATGATTATGAGAGTTGTTGTCTTCATTGTTAAACATCTTAATGCCAATTTATTTTTAGTAGGATTCCTTCAGTGTTCAGCCTTGTCTAATTAAAACCAATAACAACTCTGAAGTGAATAAAACATTTTCGTATTAAAAATGAGCGTTTCTCTGACACTCTTGGGCAGACACAGGACGTCAGGAAGGGCTACGAGAGGGGCGGTTTGCTCAGCTTGTTTCTCTGATAACTTAAGATCCAGGTGTCCAATGACTAAAAATCCTTCATCCAGTTAAAGGTTATACTTATATGGTTATAAGATTAGTAAAAGTGACGGTGATGTTACTTGAAACAGTAAGAAAGTAGTTGGCTAGAAATGTCTTAATGTCCAGCAGTCCGACCAACAGCCTGCGCTTATAGAAAACTCTGAATGAATCCCCTCCATTAGCTCCAACCACATTCTGCAGGGGTCCAGCACATCACTTGCTCTCAGAGTTGCAAAATAACAGTGTAGTGATTTGGAAATTACACCCTTTATTCAACCACTAAAATGCCAGCTGGCTGACCGAGCACAGAAAGTGAGCAGCTACGGCTGGTGCACATAACATGATACCAAAACAGTTTTGATGTAAAAACAGTAGTCACAACAAACAGCATACTTTGGAGGTCTACAACCAAGTGATGACTGCACAATACGAGCTGATTGAAAGTAAACGGAATTTCATTTAAGGTAAAAATCTAACTTGTTAATTTCTAATGGATAAAGTGTTGAACACAAAGGTTTGTGTCTGACACACCCAGAACAACATATTCTGCACAACTGACAGTGTTAAATAAATTCAAACTATACACAGCTGTCATTCATCCAGAACGTTGTGCCCTGCAAATATTCTTAGATTGTTATGTGCCTTGTTCAATTTTAATGTGAGTATAATTTAATGTAAAGTGCCACAATATCAAGCATATAGATTACTACATTAAGAATTCATTAGTCACAGACTGGGCAGATTACAAATGATTTTCCAATAATTATTTGAAGATGGTAGCACTAGCTCAGAAGGACTACTCCCAAAATGAAATGTGAAATAAAAAAAAAACAAAAACCAATTGAACTTATTTAAAAAGATTTCTCATCATCACAACAATATTACCATCACAACAATCTAAGTATCTGAAAAACATGCATTTACAACTGAGCACTGTCAGATCAGTCAAAGACATCAGCACAGCATGACTTCTGCTGTACTATCCTGATGTGAGGCACTCAATTCTTCCAGCCCGGGGGTTACTGTTGTGTACCTGTTCTCCAATCCTACAATCAGCAACAAGATTCTCTGTGAGCCTTCGAAAGCAAAAGTGCTTTCTATAACCCTAGAGGGGAAATGTTTTCACAAAGTCAGTGGAGAATGAAAAGAAGGTTTACGCCTTTCTTAAAGTAACAGCATATAAACCAATTTACACAACTCAGCAGTGATCTTAATACACATGTAGCATGTTAGGTCACAACAATAGATAAATAAAGAATATAACACCGTTCTTTACAAACCTTATAGAAGAAGTACTACTCTGACATGTCACTGTATTGAATACAAAGTATTAGTATGGATGCCTGACACTGAGGGCTAATTTAAAAGAAACAAGTTTTGGAGAGAAACTATCAGAATATGTTACTATAGGGCCTCATTTACACTTTTTTTCAGTTCTTCAAACATTTATGAACAATATTTATAACAGCACATTATGTCTGAAGCAAATAAGCATTTCCCAAAGGCTCTAATTACAGCAGATATAGTTATGGCTGATGGCTGCTAGTGCTTGCAGTGTGGAGAACTCTGTTACTAAGGCAATAAAAGCATTATATCATGCACTCGCCATGTTACAACCACTGAAGACAAGTAAACATAAAAATGACAGTGGCTTTTGGTCAGAGGAAGAGACTGATGGATGCAGTTTTGTTGACATGGAGGATGGCAGTGTCAGTGAAGTGTGAAGGGAGTTACACCTGTGAGGTCAGGGCCAAGTCAACCACTCACTCACACACTCACTCACACACTCACACACATACACACACACACACACACACACACACACACACACACACACACACACACACACACACACACTTCTCATCTCCATGTGACATGTCTGGCATGGCTGTTTGTCACACTGGTCATCGGCCATTAAGTGGCAGCTTGTGAACTACACCACAGAATTCTCTGCATGGCACAGGGAGCAACTTTGAGGCTGTACAGCAGGTCATAGACGGGGGCATTCCCAGTGAATCTACTCTCAGGTTCTCACGGCTGTTTTGAATGTGCATGTGAAGGGGTTGCAAACAAAAACAAATTGCTCTGGAAGGATTAGAAGTCCTTCAATATGACCTCATCGCACAGGTCATTACATGAAAACCTGCACCACACCCTACACTCATGAGGCACTCTAATGATGGAACAGAACTGCAATGACTATAACTAAATCAACACTCACATTTATTGTCAAGACAAATTAAACCTGAACAGCTGTGCATGGTGACACTTTAAAAAAAAAAAAAAAACTTTTTAACATTTAGTTGCAACTGTTAAGTCACCTATGAAGCAAAATTGCTCAATAATGTAATAGACCACTTTTAGCCTATCTTTACTGTCAGTACTGTTAATTGTGGTTTCATTTCGACCCTGGAAAAGGTCACACTGCATAATAGGGTTTGTGTTACACTGCTGCTTTAAAGCTTGAGTCATCGATGGAAGGCGAAGAATTTATTTTTGCCTGTGCACCAGACTTTTAACTGCCACCAGCCCATCAGATATTCACCTCACTGCTAGCTTTTTTTTAGGTAAGTAAGCTAAGTCAGATTTGGTTGAACACAAAAAGACTATGCTGCAGAACCAAGGTAGTCCAGCATAACATGACCACATAACTCTTACGAAAAAAATTTCATTTCTTTATTATCTTAATTAGGACTGGCAGAGCAAATATCTTACCTACGTTTTAGCAACACCAGTCAAGTGGTTACATAACTAACCAGAGCTGTGCAATGCTCTGGATGGTGGTCACAGAGTAAATCTCATAACCATGATCCTAAGCAACGGGAATGACCCTTAATGCACTTTCGTAACTGAGAGTTATGATCAAATGTAACCTAACAACCTGCCTTCTCGGTTGTGAACCATTACACGCTTGGCTCACTATCAGGCTACTCAATCTCCGCCAAACGTCAACGCTCGGCTATGTTTCTACCTCCGCCGCTGGCCACACTTTGTAAACAAAGATATCAATGTGATGAGTAACCTAGGAAACATTTGAACACACAAACACGGATATCCACGCCTTCAAGCTAAACATTGTTGTTGGTTGTAGCCTACATCTTCAGTATAGCGCCCCGGAGAAAAAGATTTACTTAGTCTAGTACGAAGTTGACGACACTTGCGTTAAATCTGTCACTTGGCCTTGTTTATTTCAGTTGACGACACAGTTCGCCCAGTATGCTAAAGCTACCAAGCGAGATAACGTTTTACCCACATGGATGCGTATGTATTAGCAACTATCATTAATGTTACACAACTTGAGCGAACAACGCTATGGTTTAACCTAACTTTACGTGGTGCCGTTAGCTAACATTGGCTAACAGCTAGCAAAACATTGGATAACGCTTTGAGCTAGGATAACGTAAGGCCTAGCTTAAACAATTTTTTTGGTTCTTACAATTGGTTCCTTAACATTAAAAACGCATGTCCTGTAACCATAATAAAACATCAATTCGAGGATAACCCAACTAACCATGAGGCTGGTCAGCCGACGTTGCAAATACTTTGAGCCCTAAAACTATGCACCTATACAGTTCGGCTAAAGTTAGCCAGCCACCAAGTTAGCTTCTGTAAGCTTACCTTCTGAGAATGCTGCTGGAGGACATTCTGCTCCACGGTCATGGCCGGTTCAGAGATAAATTTTATTAAATCCAAACCAGAGTTTCAAAATGCAAGGAACACTTTTCACTAAAGCGAATGAAAATGCGATGCTATGATGTCCCCTCCTCAATCATCGACATTACGGGCGCCATGGCAGAGTGACTACCGCAGGTCGTCAGCAGGCATGAAAACATTGCTCTTCCCTGCCTGAGATCTGGGATCGATTACTCACGCCTGCTTGAACTGCATTTACGTCACGGATGAGACTTTTGGAAATCATGGGTAAGCAATTAATTAACACAGTTTTGGCCTGATACGTCTGCTTTTATTACTGACCACACCCTGCTTGGGTTTACTTTATCTCGTGATCATATCCTGTTGGTCTTCATAACATGAACTCATCTAAGCAGTACCTGAGAATTTTCTTTGCAAAACTTAACATTCGTGGTTCATTTTAGCCCCTTTTCAACATTCTCAAAAAGCAAACCCAATATAGGCTACTTGAAAATATAGGGCCCAAGTGGTGCCACCAATAATACTGTGTAGACATTTGTTTATTATCTTATATTTCATTCACTGTTTGTTATCCCTTGATGTTGCTGTTCTGAACATGTAGGCTACATATACAGTAGGCCTATATATATGTGTGTGTGTGTGTTTGTGTGTGTGTGTGTGTTGTTAAATGTGTTGTTACATATGTTGCAGTATCCATTTGTGCCATATCCATTTTCCTCATAGGAAGGAAATAATAACCATATATCTCCAAATAGATTTATAAGCGAAGGAGTTTTCATAAAATGCATTTAACTTGGTTGTGAAATCGCCTTTGAAATTCTATTCGATATTTGTTGGAAAGTAAGATGAATACTGTTTTACATTCTGCAGACAAGTTTTGAAAATTGTATTGTCTTTCATTGCATCATTTGTGAAATTGTGTAGACTCTGCAGTTATTGCCTATTGTTTGTTCTCCTTATGTACCAAATCCTCAAGGCGTACTTCGCATTTTGTCTGTTTTATTTCAGTTTCCTGTGAATTGACATTCTGGGAAAAGGATTTTTGCAACAGGTCCTTACAAACTGCTTATAATGCACAATGTTTGCAACACAGACGAAGCAAAGTAATAGTAATAACTCAATAACTCAACATCATATAATCAGAAATCAAATAGATTTGAACCACTGAGTTATTATGATAAACAACACCAGAGTGTAATGAGGATTTAATTGCAACTGATTCTTGCTTAATCGCTGTTACAATTTATAGAATGATTTGATGGTTTGATTTCACATAACAATAACCACTCTCAGTAACCTGGCAGTGACTGTCTGACAGTCTCAGATACTGAGACCATATCAGTGCTCTATTTAATTCTAAATACCTTGAACATGATATATGCAAATATATATACTGTACATATGAGCGACCAGGTGAAATGAATGGAACTGCTGTTGTATGAAGGGGTTTCAGTGCGTGTTATTTTCTGATCTTTTTTTTTTTTACACAAAATCCCTTTAATGAATAAGTGGTTGATATCTGTTTGATCCTTAAATTTCTTCAGTGCTTTCTTATTGACCTTAGAAAAGACTCATTTTACCCTGTAGCCATTCTTTTTTTATACTGTGTTGTTTTTTCAATATAATTTTGCTATAGTGAGATAAACGCCTATAGCAACTGCCCTTCAGTATAACTACACTGAATTAATCAACTGTTACCTCCTGCTCTTTATCTCCAGCTCCTTTTTAATTCAAGAGCTATCCTTTGGCCTCCAGGAGGTGCTGTAACAGCAGCACAAACTTGTAGAACTTGCACGCCATTGTTATTGAACAGACACACTATTTAAATACATTTGGTTTCATATGGAAATACGGACTTAGTAGGCAGATTCAGATGCAGATCACCTCTACTGCTTCCACAGCACCACAGATGATCATGTTGGTGGAAAGTAACTAAGTACATTTACTCAAATACTGTAGTTATGTCCAATTTTGAGATACCTTTACGTACTTACTTTTACTTTACTTTATAGATTAACATTAAGAGTATTTTTTTCATCTTACCAGCCCTAAAAGTCTTATCCTCTTAAAACAAAACAAACCTGTCCTTATGGTACGATCATTTCCAACTTTTTAAATTGTATATAAATAGTTCCACGAATTATCTAGAATAAGATAATATTTCTGTCACCTTCAGTAATCACTGATCCCTTATTCTGTCCTCTTTCAAAATTCTCAAACTAATTTCTGAAAGGCTACTGAAACTAGTTGATTCCTGTACAGTCCTGTATTGTAAGCACATGATTGTCATTGGCTGAATAACACAGGTCTTACAATTTGTGGAAAAGACACTAAATTCAGTTGTCTAATTTCTGGCCTAATTATTCAGACAGATGAAATAACACCAACATCCAGACACTGGGCATTGAAACCTGTCAGCTGTTATTAATTCAGTGCAAGATGGGAGAGAACAGTCCTCTTCCAGAAAAATGGGTCATCCTTTAGATGTTCAGGAATAGCATTGTTGTAATAGTTATGACTGAAGCAGTCAGCATGCTTTGTTAACATGAACTGTGTCATCTAAGTAGTACATATAAATATTAATGGGAATAGTCAGAACTTTATGGAGTTATGTGGAAGGATTTAGCAACAACAACAGGGATGTAAGAAGGATGATTTCATCTGTTTATATTTTGCAATTTCATTACAAGAAGAACTGGGTGTAAAAATCATATATGTATATATATATACATATATATGTATATATAGTACATATCAATATATTGTTTTGTCATAGCCTCAATGCTTCAGTCAGTGCAAGCATTAGCCATTCATTGTGTGTCATTCAGCTTTTGTCCAGCAGAGGGAAACATCCTCCTTTGGAGCTCCAGCTTGCATAATGACAGATCTACCACAGTCACAGCGGGGATGTGGAAAAGGAAATGAATCATGAAAATGATTCCATTTGGTAAATCAAGTAGCATTATAAGTCACAAAGTCTGTGTCCAATTTACAGCAACTTCAATATGTAGCATAAGAAAATACTAACTGACCACCAGAGTGTGTGAAGGTTACCTTTAGCACCAGAACGCCTCCTAAAACAGCCCTCTTGTCTGAGCAGACACATCACAGAGTTTGACCTCGAGGCAGGAGGTAGAGCTATCAGTCAGAGAATCTGGGAAGCTGTCAGGAAACTAATCAGAAAATAAGTTGATGAATCAATTGGCAAAGTCAAACAGTAACCGCTGCAGTCTGAATAGATCCTTGGCTGACAAGCTGATATATATAAAGAGCTCAGACTTGTTTGTTGAAGATCAAAACGGATCCTGAAAGTGAGCCTGAGGGCTGTATGATAATAGCTTCACTCTTCTCACCAGGATATTTAAAATCCCCCTGCTCTCTGTCTGATTCAGTAATCCACCACACATAACATGTACTGTATATCACAGCTGTACTTTAGAAAATCAGCGATAACAAAAATCACAAAATAGAGCATATTTAACATGTGCATGTCATGCAAATTCAGGAACAAGTAAGTAAGAGATAGAACAGATACATTTCATTTCCGAACCTTTAAGGTCCTGTATGTCTCTTGAACTGCAGGCCTTTTTAAGGGACACACTGTGTATTCTGATTCAAATTTAATGTTTAATTTCAAATTTATTTGCAGTGCATGTGCATCTTTTTGGGTCCTTAATGTTCTAGTGCACCAAAATATCAAGGCTTACTTGTGTGGTGGTTAACCCTTCCATATCTTTAGCCTTTATCCTGCACACTGAATGAAACGGTGAAATATTGTAATGTATTAATTACTGTATTATAGGAGCAGAAGAATTTTTGTCTTTCATTAATGGTTTGATGGGGATTTAAGTGCTTTAGCTATTAGTTCTAGTTTGATTATTACTTTATTTCACCCAATGCATGCTTTGCTTTGGTCTCCACATCCTTGGGAAAAGGAATAAGCAGGTATAGAAAATGAATGGATGAAAATATTTTTGAGGACCAGTCCCTTTTCATTTTTTAGCAAATATCACCAACCATTGCGTCTAGTCCAACGCTAAAATAAGACCCTTTGCAAACAGACCAGATTGAGCTGGCAGACACTCTGCATACAAATTATATTGCAACAGTGTTTTGGAAACAAAATGTTGAATTTCATCCATGGTCGTCTCCTCTGTGCTGCCCTCTTGAGTCTGTTTGCGCACTTGCCAGGTTTTACTCACAGTCCATGTTTTACTGTGGGGGTTTAAAGACAGGCCAGGCTTCAAGGCTGCAGATGGACACTGTGGAGTTATTTTTTTATTAACTAAGAGCTTGCAGCAATTACATGTCTGTAGTTCTGGCTGAAAAAAAATCATCCAAATTCATCCACTCACTCCAGAAAAGACCATTGTGCTGGTCACCGTACTGTATGAAACTGAGTTGTGATAATTTTATGAGTGTAGTTTATCACATAATGGTTTTAAGTCTAAATGAGTTGGCACAGTCACTGTGGCATTTGATATAAGTGTGAGTGTCCAGTTTCTCCACATACTAAAACTTCACTAGTTTTTTAAAGTGCACCACTTCTTAAATGGTAAATCTTGATACTGGTTATCCAATTATACATAATTTGACATACTCTCTAATATAAAGTGAGTATACATACATGGATTATAACCATTGCATCTTTACAGATAGTGGCCAGTCAATCAGTACATCAATTGTACCCCAGTGGTTATTTCAACACTGCTGACATATAATTTCCCAACAGGATATTTATCTGTCATAAAACATGAAACCATGAACAGTGATATGTCATCTGAAATCATCTTTTCCTCATACTAAACCATGGTACCATATACAGTATGAAGTCTTGGCCTTCATATAAACAAGATAAGCCACGGTGTGTTTTTGCAGTCAGGGGAAATTACAGTGTCACACAGAGATTTTAGTTGCTGATCCTCGTATTTAATATCACATACAGACACAAACATCTATCACAGATGTTAATATGCGATACAGAAAATATGAACCTAACTTACCTGAGAGACATCACAGCACAGCGAGGGTTACAGTCGGTAAAATCAATGTATTTTGTTGGAAACAGTCATGGCAGCAATAATACATAGTTCACTACTAATAAAACACACTGATTGTGTCCTTTACCTTTGCTGTTTTTCCCCAGAGAGCAATATGAGCATTGATTTTATGACAGTGTAAAGAA